GTTCAGTGAAATAGCAAGGTGCTTCCCGGTTTGGTGCTCAATACTGGGATTTTATTCATTTACACTCTACTGCATTTAAACACTTGCTTATAGCTACAAGGAACTGAGGTGAAGGAGATGATATTCAGGTCTCATTCCTTCCACTTCTGTGACATTTGATCAACTGAGCAAAACGTCCCCATCTGTAAAATGGGAATCCAGCTCAGATGGCCTGTCCACGAGGGCTGCTCTGTGAGCTCAAAGGTCTGGGAAGCACAGCAACTGTGAAGTGTGACACCCATGAGCCGCCATGGGAGGGCGAGGCTTGTGAGCGGCGCTGAGGATGACATCATTGCTGGGCTTCGCCCGAGAACGGAGGACTTTTAAGGACGTGGGCGTCGCACGTGGCATGGCCCACCTGGTGGCCCTCAGTGCCCTGGGCGCCCCCTTTGAATTGCCTACAACAAGAGAGAAAAGAAACTGGCAACACAATTGGATTTTAAATCAAAAGTTATGGTTTTATTTTTAATTTAATATATCAGAAAAAAATATTTCTTTTAATGTCATGAAGTAAGCACTTGAAAATAACAGTTGCAACACTGAAGAGGCTCAGATGGATGGGGTTCTCTCTGAACACAGGCCCAGGGGCCCCAAGAGGACGCCTCTTCCAGCGGCTTTCGAGCAGCCTCCTGCCTGAACCTGCCCACAGGCGGGCCTGTCCGATGCCCGCGTGCCTGGGCAGCGCCCCCAGCTGCTGCCGAGCGCTGGTTCCTGTCCCACTGGGAGAAGTAGTCTCACGTGCCGCCAAGCCCTGGGAAAAGACTGTAACAGCGTTGAAAGACCAGCATGAGTCAGGACCCCCAATCCTGACCCACAGGGGCTGCAGGTATGGCTTGGCCCTGATTGACGGGACGGTCTCTTCAATGAACCAGATGCTTCTCTACAATGTAGTTTGGGGTTTGGCTCTGCAGTGAAGTGTATCTGGTTGCAAGACTTCTGCCTGCCCTGAGCCCACACGCGGCGTGCTTTCACTGTCTGTCTCCTTGGTGCTAGAACTCGTTTCACTTTTTTTTTTTAGTTTAATTTGGGATTAAGGGAAGCCTAGGGGTGATTTTTCCCCGTTCTGTGAGTCCTAAGTTTTCAGCATCTAAGGACGAGGAAAGTAACTTGATTCAATGGGCTTGTGAGTGTTCCATGCTCTGCACAGGTGCACCTCACTGGCCTGGAACTGTGGGTTCTGACACTGGCCAGAGGATGTTTATAATCGGGAGCGTCACAACTGGCATTCCAGACAACGGGATGCCTTCACCGACACTTGTTTGGCTTAAGTATCGGGGACCACACACAGAGGCTGGGGGTTCACTAGCACTTCCTACTGATTGTCGGCACACGCGTATCGATGCTTAAACAGCTCTCACTTTAGCAAAATCTCTTCTGGACGGTAATGGGTCTGAGGTACAAAGAAACAGGTCTTGTACATCAATAAAAAAGGGACAGAACAACTTTAAAAAGTTACAGATGATGACTCACAGCTGGAACACAGGCTCCACTATCATCCCAAACTGATAACAAAATATTTATTCTTGAAAACAAAGAGAATGGGCTATGGGGAATTTCTGGGCTTTCATTGTGACATTCTCAAACACTTGTTCTTTTCAAGGTGGAAACTTTTTCAGGGGAATAGGGTCCCAAAGAGACAGACAAGGACCATGCACATACAACTCGAAGCATTGTACTCTGGGAGGCAAAGTCTGTTCGGTCTTCTCCACTCTCCTAACAAGTCTGTCTCCAATCAGCGTGTGGCCACTCCAACAACTGTGTTCAAGAATCATTAGCCAGACTGGAAGAAAGCCAGGCTGTGTGGGAGCTGACTCAGTTGTGTGACACATCGAGTCGCTGCGGAGAGGCGGCTCAACCAGAAGCGATAGTAACCCGAGACAACCTAGCTGTCTCTCCCAGGTAATTCAGTCTGGGGATGAGGCCAGACTCCTGGGGTAGTCTACTCCAGTGTCACTGACTTCAGGTGATTTGTTACTCTGATGTGGCAGGCTTTATCTCACCATGAAGGCACCACATCTGATTTTTAATTCTGTGGGTCTCTTTCCTAGCAGCGTTCTTCCATTGAATTCTACAAACACCCACTCAAATGAAGTCCAGAGATACGTTAGCAGAGGTGAAGGGACGGAGATGTAATCAATCTCCCCCCGCTTCAACAATATGTGGCTATGTATTGTCCCTCCCCTACTTTTTGTAATGGAGTGTGATTGAAGGATGGGAGTAAATTACCTGGAATAATAACCTCTCTATATGACTCATCTGGTAATTTGGCCTGGTAAGGGATAGGAATATTATAGGAGTTGCTTTTCTCACTAGTAAAGCTAGACGGTCCAGATAAAAACCTGCTCTATGAATAGAGCATTTCTCACCAGAAATTTTTTCATTGCAAACTCTTAAGCTTGGGTTGATGCTCAGATCTAGTGTATCAAATTGCATGTACTTATATAGGAAATGATTTTTTCTTTCAATGCAGGAATGTTTTCCCCATACTGTATATTAGAATGCAGTGAAAATCTTCGATAGAAAGAGAATCGACTGCAGCATAGTGAGGCAGCTGCCTGCCCAAGTTTTTCTGGAATGTTAACTGGCAGCAGGGTTATCTATGTGGCAGTCAGTTCTCTGGCAGGCTTCAGATTTGCCATGGCTAGTGGTCCAGACTCCTAACTTGATATAGTTAAGCAGTTAAGCTGAGATGTTAAAAACATTGTACTGAACCTGTAATACCAGAATTTTATTTTAATGTGCGTTTTTTCCTCCTCCCATGATAAACATCAGAAAAGCTTTTAGAAATACTTAGCTAACTGAAAAACTATTAGATATTCAACCTGTAAACAAAAATTCTAAATCTTCTCACAAGTGAACACAAGCATGAACCTGCATCAAATAGAAAGTAGTTGGAAGTCACTGAGTCTATACTCACTTCCTTATTCTAACCTGCATTAAAGGATCAATGATAAATCAATGGATCAAGTCATTAAATCAACCAGATGAGCTCTAACTGGTCTTTTAATTAAACTCAAGTCAGCTGTTATTTGACCGATGCCTCATTTTCATTATTCCGGTTATTTTCTGTTATAAGGAAAAGAGCTTATTGCACAGTACCATGTATTTTCAAAGCTCAAAACAACATTATTTGCATCGCAAAGATCTATTAGTTGTTACGGCAGGACCTATCTTTTCAGCTCATGTCAGCTTTTGCCCTAGTAGTAATACAGTCCTCCATCAATTGTTTCTCACCATGAACCAAGGTCAAGACGCTGTAGACTGTTCATGATAATTTAACACAGATGTAACAGCTTCCCTCCCTGCATACACACTGCTCCAACCTCGGCCTATCAGCTGTGACTTGTTTTGCATGGATTCTTTTGTTCATTGTTCAAACCATTCACACAGAATGGAATAAAACTTTATTCTTTTAAATTCCACACATAGACGAGATGCTGAGAAAGCCCTTGTCATCTCTGACAGAGAAGCAGAGCAGCTCTGTTTCATGAATGACAGCACAATTAAAGCTAAAGTAATATAAAAATAATTGGAAAAAAAATCCATTTGACTGTATACTCTCAAAGCAAGAAAGATAAACGACAGTTTCTTTTCTGCTAGTCAGAAAACGTGTGTCTATTCATTTGGGCTTTGAAGTTCAGAAAGTCCCTTTAAAAAAAATTCTGAAGCTGACTTAAAGCAGGAAGGATGTCTTCTGATTTGGCCAAAAACATGACGTGTGTTTTGTATCATTTAAAATTTGAAGGATAAGTCTATAGGGGGCCCTTGGTTGTCAACTGTTCCAGCCAAACTTCCCATGAAGTGTTTGTTGAAGTATCTCCACTTGACCAGCAGAGGGCACTTTACACACCTCCACATTGCATAGAGAGCAAATGCAGATGATGCAGAAACACAGTGTTCACTCAATATCAGGAAGAGCCCTGCAGATTTCTTTTTGAAATTCACAAAAATATAGAAAATATGGGCTGTGCCACACGGTTTCATGAGTATGGGAAGTTATGAGTATGGGTGAAGTCAAATAGGGAGAGAAATGCATTGTACGGATCGTCGGCTCCCTTCTCCCGTTCCTTTCCCTTTCCCAGCTGAAGAACTGTTACACATTTTTACTCGTAGTACAGAAGCCATTTTCAAATCTTTCGGTTGGCTTTGCTCTTTTCTATCCCATATTTACTCTTCTTTTAAAAAGCCGGGGACACCTGAACCAAGGATAATGCTTCCTACCTCATCTAAGAGTAGGAGTTACGGCTAAGCGGCCAGAAACGCTCTGAGGGAACTGCTCCTTTCGGCACTGAGCTGTGTTGTTTCCAACCTCCCAGGAGGAACCTGGGAAAAATCCCGTGCCCGGTTTGGTCTTGGCAAACTCACTAGCCTGAGGCTGTATGTATCCGATTTAGTCTTGGCAAACTCACTAGCCTGAGGAAACACACCAGTTGAAATATACCTGTTCAGGGAAACACACCAGTTGAAATATACTTGTCTGTTTTCATAAGAGGTGATTAAGACATATTTTCTGATGGGGACTACTTTTCTTGAGGCTTTAATTTTTGCAAAAGCATGAATGTTCTAATATACATCCTGTGTCCCTTCCATTTTTATTTATTCTTTTGGCTCCAGTTTAGTGTCAAAAAGATGAGAAAGGATTGTGTGTGCATGTGCTCCCACCGTTTTCTAAGTAAACTTCTTTCATCCTTAGAGAAATACAACCCTTTGTAAATACTTTCCATACAGTGTGAATAGCCTTTCTTTGCCTTCTATTTCTCTCTGCCTCTGGCACACTTTTGCTCTCCTTTGCCCTAAAGTTGACAGGTAAAGAGGGAATGGGGTCTCCTAGCAGCAGTCCCTTGAGATAGAGGTGCACTCAGTGAGTCCTCACCCAAAAAGGATCATAAACTGACTGGGGTACATCAACCTAATTATCCCTAAGCTGCCTTGGGTTTTGTGTTTGCTCATGTGTTTTGTTGTAGCTGCACCATGTGATTCCTTGTGCCATTTTCTTTTGTCTGTTATTTTTCTTGATGACCCTGAGCTATGGCTTCCTCCTCAGTCCCCACACTATTCCGCCTTGGTGATTTTTCTCATCTTGCCGATGTAGGCCTCAAAGCAGAAGTGGCAGAAGAGCACAAGGTAGCTGAGGTACATGAGTGAGGACCAGAAGATGTTCTGAAAGTGAGAGTAACACTGGTCGTGCTGCATCCAGTAGAAGACCAGGTAGTTAATGACACAGCCCATCAGCATCTGAGTGATCTGGGACAAGGTGATGAACATGGCAAACTTCCAGGAGACTCGGAAACCCGCCGCTCGCAAGGCCTAGGAAGAGTACATCACGGCGTGCACGCCGTAGTTCATAGTCATGAACCAGCCACCCCCGGCAACCATGTCCTTGTAGGAGTACCAGGAGTACAGGAGCACAGTGATGTGGTGGTACCAGTGCAGGAAGATCAGCTTCTGCTTCCTCAGGATGATGAATATTGTATCTCCTGGAAGACAAATGAGGGCAAGAGTGGACATGAGCCCCTGACATGATGATACTGTAGATTTTGGCATGAAAAGTAGATACCTTGAACTAGCCCTTGAGAGTGAGATGGACTGGGTGAGCATCTTGGACTGACATTTACTACCTCTGTGACCTTGGGCAAGTTATTTATTCTCACCATTTTCCAGTTTCCTGGTGAAGATAATCATAGTAGCTTGGAATTGTCGGAGGATTATATAGGCTTATCAACAGACCCTCTTAGCACATGGTAAGAGCTCAATAAATGTTACTTTCAGAAAGGTGTTTTGCCCAAAACGTTACTAATTTTTGAACTGGAAGGGACATTAGTAACCAGGTTGCCAAATGTTTTAGGAGATATCGCATGTCTCAGATCAGGTATCAATCAAGAGAAACAGATTAGATTTAAGTGCCCAGCACAATGTTCATGGCTTCTCTGGAGCAGTAAACTATTTTCCTTTGGTGCATGCCAGAGACCCCTTAAAAACACATCATTGTGAGCTTCCTGTAAAATGTGACAGCTTGGCATGTGGCAATTAGAAAAACAAAATTCGCCCTAGCTGGTTTGGCTCAGCGGATAAAGCGTTGGCCTATGGACTAAAGGGACCGGGGTTTGATTCTGTGTCAAGGGCACATGCCTGGGTGGCAGGCTCGATCCCCAGTAGGGGGCATGCAGGAGGCAGCCAATCAATGATTCTCTCTCATCATTGATGTTTCTATCTCTCTCTTACACACACAAAATTTAAGTAAAAGGCAAATGCAGAAAAAGAGAATAAAGGTCACCTTCTACCATATTTGCTGAAGAGAGCAATAGGAATGTTTTATTAAACCAATGAATCAAGTGATAAAAACTCCAGATTGACATACATTTTTATGGTATTAACTTTGAAATAGCTCTCCAGAGCTAGCAAAAATGTTACAAACATTATCCCCTTGAAGAAAAAGACCACTGTTTCTAAGGTATGAAGTTTATACTACAAAAGCTAGAATTATGCTCAGATAGATAGATGCTATATATCTGCAATGATTTTTTTGAGAAGTCTAGGAATTCTGAAACATATACTGTAGAACACGTGTAAAATCATAAAAAGAACAAATACACCCAATTCCATTGACAAGTACCAAAAGAAGGGAGGAGACATTGGAATGTGGAACAGAAAGAGGTTCATGCAGGCAAATGCTTTTCTCTTTCCTATCTCTATGGCTCCCAGATATGGCGAAAACCCACACCCTTCATGACTTTTGGTGAACTGAAACTTGACTTCTTTTTGTATAGCAAGGAGAACTAGGTGGTCTCTTCTCTTATTCAGAAATTTAAGCACAAAGGGAAGTCCTATCCCTCACACTTCAAGGGTGCCCTAAAAGGTTTGGTACAAAAGAATGCTGGACCTTGGGAAGGTGGCCGTGGTTGGAATAATACAAGTGGTGCCCCATTCAATTCAGCAGAAAATGTAAGTTTATTTCCCTACTGAATTGTTAATTATTACTTCATGTTTGCCTAGAACAGAAAAGTTGCCAGTTCCTGCATTTCTGAACCTGTTATAAAATTTCCTTTGAGGTCTTCTTCTCGCCTGTGAGTTACCCGACATATTATGCCTATAACTATCTGACAGGCTGACAATGACTGATGGTGGTAGTAACTCTCACTTGTATACTGAAGGGACAAAACTAGTGTTAGGAGACCTGGGCCTACTTTTTAGTTTTAAATTGTGCTATTTTGTGTCTGTCAAAGATCTGCTATTTCTATGTAATTACTACTCTGGGCCTCCCTTTCCTCTGTAGATTATCATGGCGACACAATAATTCCAGCCTACCTTTGTTCTGAGTGGCAAGCATGTAGAAGTCCAAGGCATTGCGTGCTAAAAACAAATTTAGTCCCACACAATATTCAAACACATTGTAATAAGATTTACTTTCCATAAAGTAATAAGCATGTCGTATAGATTTTATTTTAACTCTATCATCACTTTTATATTAAAACTTACCAATTTCATTGTGAGGAAGGTAGTAGGAGACAAAAAACAGTGACCACATATTAGGATGGGTTACCAAGAATGGCAAGTGGAACCTACAGTTCTAGAATTGAAAATTGCTTTGTGTTCTTCCTGTCTGACTGCAGGGGGGAGGTCTCAGGCTTGACCTGAGACACGCTAGGTGTTTCCATTTAATATGGGGTCATGGAGGTAAAGGACATGCATGTCACGAGACCATCAAAATAAAATTAATTGGAATTCATCTGAGAATTTGTTTCAGAACAGATAAGTAGGATGATAGATGGAGTAATGACAATGAGCATCTTTCAGTAATGGTCCTGGAGCACATCAGGAGCACTCCAGTCCACATCAGGGCTATTGTCCCCAGGAAGGCCACGGACCCAGAGTATGACAGTTTCCCTTGGCGAGGGGTAACTGGGGGGTAGGGGGGGGAGGGAAGGGGTTCCGGAAAGGCTCCCTGAGCTGGCCCATGCTTCTTTTGATAGTGCAGCTAAAATTCAACAGTCACATCACTCTGGAGATAGCATTTTCCCCCTCTGGGAAACCACATACTATCACATTTGATTTGTCACAAGCCATGATACTTACAGGCTTGCCAAAAGCTAGTGTCCTAGAAATGCAAATTAAAGATAGGGTCTCTGTAGGTGATGTTGACCAACTAAATCTTTCTCAGCCAAAGGCCCAGGTGGCATCATGGTAAGGATTTTGGCTAAGTATGAAGTATTTGGGATTTTTGACTCATTTCACTACAGTCTCTCTAACTTTCGGTTCAGCTATTTTCAGTCAAAAGCCAACCTGCAGGCAGGGCATGGTACTTCCACGCCTTGTCCCTTCAGCATTCAGAAGTCCCCCGGGGCGCACGGCCACCAGAGTCGCTCCGTGTGTGGTTTGTCACAGACTACTGTGCTTCTCTTCAGAGTTAGCTGGAGCTCTGCTGAGTCAGAGTTTCAAAAACAAAGACAAGCCGAATGGGGCAAGGACCTAGACTCAGAGCAGATGTTTCCAAGTTTTAGCAAAACCAAATCTCAGCAGGTTTTAGTATAATTCTAACAGCAGGCACTCCAGGATTTTGGCACACAAGGCAGGTGGTGGCTCTCTTCCCCTCGCTTGCTCTACGAGACTGTAACCCTGTAATTCACTGAGATGAGCTCATTGATTTCTTCTGAAGCAGACGCCTGTCTTACTAGTAAGAGTTTAGTGAAGGGGCAACGGTGAGATAGTGTTTAATGGGTAGAGAGTTGTAGATGATGAAGACGAAAAAGTGTCGGAGAAGAAAGGATAGAGGTGATGAATGTACAGCAATGCAATTGTTCTTACTGCTAGCCCTGTACACTTAGAAGTGGTGAGTTGTATGCACTTTTTGCCACTGTAAAAAACAAAAGTTTAGTGAAAACTCCAAGCCGGTGTTTCTCAGTGGTTGAACGTGGGCCTATGAACCAGGAGGTTTGATTCCTGTTCAGGGCACATGCCAGGACTGCGGGCTCGATCCCCAGTAGGGAGCATGTAGAAAGCAGCCAATGGATGATTCTCTCTCATCATTGATGTTTCTATCTCTCACGCTCTCTCCCTTCCTCCCTAAAATCAATAAAAATATATTTTAAAAAAAGATTGGTGAAAACTGTAGGCATGCAAGTTTTGGGGGGAATACAGTTTCAGTATTGAACATGGAAGAACTGTTCATTTCCTCACAAGACCTTTTCTTTCTGGTACGCATAAGGAAGTCCAAATCTTAGAGTATTGAAAAAACAGAACTTGGGACCTAAAAAATAAGAAAAGTTCATATAATCCAAATGCATAAGTCTTTCTTAATTAAATGGTAGTGAGGCATCCATCTTATATAAAAACTGCTGTTTGAGATTTTAACCCTGATAGTATGGCTTCTGTAAATGCTTGCTTGCTTAAATAATAAGAAAAATAAGACTACTCCCATTTCAGAGAGGCCATAAACTATGCTCCAGACAGAGTTGTCAGTGCTGACACCAGGCCAGGCCTTGAGATATGGTCTCATGGCCCCTTCCCAGTACACAGACCTTCTTTCTCAGAAGGTTTGGAAGTCTCATTCCAAATTTGGGAGACAAAGGACTGGTAAAAGTATATATAAATAAAGAAGTTTCCTCCATGTTGGGGGGCCCAGAATTTGAAAGACACATATTTCTCTGGGCCTGCACAGGATTTAATAATAAAATGTAACTCCCTTTCTCTAAGCGTGGCTTGGTTTTTCTCCGGTCTTCTGCAACAGTAGTGGCAAGGTTTTCCAAAAGCAAAAAACTGGGAAGAAATGTAACTTTCAAAACAAATATGTTCACTAACCAAGGGCTGGGCTGGTTACCTCCGGGACACTGCATTGGCCTGATTTGGGCATCTACTTGGCTTCAGCACTTTACCAGGGGAAGGCCATTATCAAATGAGCTCCAAGATATTTGAAAGAAAATAAATCATATTTTATAAAGGTACTCAGACTATAAAAACCTCTGTGTGATGGATCTGAAAATACAGGAAGAATCTGTGTCACTAACTAGCCTCATTAAAAAACAGTGTCAAGATTAGGATTTTATTTTCTTCAGCCCATTGTCAACACTTTAATCCCGTATTTTAATGGTGAGAAGATGGACTGTTTTGATAGCCAACCTATAAACTACCGTGGTAAGGGAGGATGCAACAGGAAAGGGCTCATCAAGCCAATGGCACAAGAGATGAGTCCTGCTCTTTCTGGGTTCAAAGGGGAAGACCCGTGTTCAGTGGGAATGTCTGCGTTGGGGAGCAGGGTATGGCCATCTTGGGCCTAGATGAACTTAAGGCAGGTGGTTAATAAGCATCATCGGCATCAACACTCTAAGACAGAGGATGGGAGCCCGGATACCTCTGAGGCTGCACCAACAGACCAGGATCTGAACTCTGTCCGCCATCCTCAAACTTTGATTTCAATTTGGAACAGAAGCCAGAGAACACGAGGGCTGAGAGCACAGGTCTAGTCATGTCTTTGAGGGAAAGTGACCGCTGTGGAGAGCGTGGAGTGGCTCTTCAGTAAGTTATTCAATAGGTAGAAAGGACTGTTTATTCGCCAGTCCCTCAAATCCAGTAGGAGAGAACTCAGAACACAGGCAAGCTGCCCTTGCAGGGTAAAGACAATTCTAGAAACAGACTGAGGTTGGTTCCTTTGCACATTGAGGCTTAAGAGCCAGATGCATTGCGGCACCATTGCTGATTTTTTTAAAAATTTTGTTGAGGGTAGCAAGGTGTTAAATGTAAATGTATTCAAAAATAGCATGGGCTCTAGCCGGTTTGGCTCAGCGGATGGAGAGTCGGCATTTCATGCATTTACTGTATTCATATATCTGCATTCAGTTCTTTATCAAAAAAGACAAAGGAATTCATAAGGATATTTGTTATAGAGCATAAATTAAGTCAGTAGGATGTAATATTAATAATGTATGAATTTATTTTAAAGAAAAATGCCACAAAACCCAATGGGTAAAGAAGACATGTTCACATTCTCAGACCAAGTCCACTTTGAGACCACATGATGGAACTCAGACAGTCTATGACTCTAAGTAAAACAAAGAATCACTTAATATAGCTGCAGACTTCCGGGCACTGTCTGTAGCTTCAGGTTTGAAAAATACTTCTGTTACCTAAGATTTTGCACCAATTCAAATATAAAAAATAGTCTCCTAGGGCCTAGTTCATAAAATTCATATTATAGAGTTCTTTTTAGATAAAGTAGCCATTCCATCCTAGCCCCTATTAAATTCCTAACCTCTGGGAGGTGCTTAATGTAAATTTATTAAAGGGATGAATGTAAACTAATGCACTTCACTCGAAGACTACAGAGGCTGTATGTGTGGGGCACACACACAACAATGATCTAGTTATGAGGATTGTGTAGAGGACCCCTCTCTGTGCCCCTGCCCCTTCCTTAGGAAGGGTTTTCAGAAAAAGTTTTCTTGTGCTGATCTTCCCTACTCTTTGACCTGGGAAGGCAAAATCAAACCAACAGTTCAAACCCATTGCCAGGTATCTGTAGGCAGCAGGTGCATCACAGCTAGGGGAAAGTGAGTGGGTGCGGACACACATATCGGAGAGAGGCCTTTGTGAAAAGACACAGGGTATGAGCGAGGGCACCTTACAGAAAGACTGATGATCTCTTGTACTGTAGGTGGCTTATAATGAGATTACAACCTCTAACCCCTTTTGGGGAAAAACGAAAGGGAGAACACAATCTATACATACATAAACATTTTTAATTTAATACATACAAGTCTTAATTCCCGAAAAAAAAAATTAGGAAACCCAAAGGACTCTGGGTGTTCCTTAAGATGTGTACCGGTTTGTGAGACAGTGGCCAGCACTGCTCGTGGATGAACTCAGAGCTCATCACCAGTGGATCCCTTCCTTGGGCAATCATGATACTATCCTGGGGAACTGTACCCATGTCAAACCACTGCCACTTCCTTTCTCACTGCTTCTGCTAACCTGTGGCACACTTATACTGAAGCCCATGAATGAATTGAAGGGAAAACCTTAGAAATCTACAAATATAACCAGTTATGTTTTCTCAATTAGTTTCTAAAAGGTGAACTATATTCCTCTTCTCTAAGGCCTGTCTCTTTGGTGATTAAAATCAAACAACACCAGAAACCAACGCTTAGCATGTGTTAATGAGGACATGAGGCTACCCAAATGAAAAGCTTCATTTCCTAGTCTGAATCCTAACTCCAGAAATGGAAGTATGCTTTGGCATGGGACTTGGAAATAATCGCATTGCTAAGTTGTCCTTATGTTTTATATTAGCTAAGCTGCTGATGGGCCAGAGGGAAGGGGCTGTGTATATTTTATACCCCTCCCCCCGAACATGTATAGACAGTAGTGCTTGGAAATCACATGTTCTATGTCAAGTATTTTGCTCTTCATACACACAATGTAAAATTATTTAAAAGGAGGGAGGGGAGAGAGAAAAAGGTAGTGAAAGTGAGTCATCAAATGCAACTTTCCTGTAACCAACCAAACAGAACCTTTAAACTGTTTGTCTTTAAATAAATGTTGTGTAGGTCACATAAAGTGATCGGGGAGGAGAAAATGGAAGGAGAGAAGACACTCACCTAGTTCAGGTGCTTTGCTTAGCACAAATGCATAAGCCCAGAATTTGCTGACAGGTCCATTGTAAAAACTCTGGTCACAAACTGACTGCTTCAGGCCTTTGGTCATCAAAATGTACACCATATAAGCACCAGTTCGAAGAGCACCGAATATACTTCATAAGTGAAAAGAGAAAAGAAATAACATTTAGGAAAATAATTTCACTTCTGACATTAACCATACTTGGAAGG